TAAAAGTAAAAAGATTCACATTACGTACTCTGTCAGGAATAAATTAGTGCAATCGACGTCGATGCGTCGATGAATGGTCGCTTTCAAATACTGGTTGATATTTTTATCTTTTTGTCTTTATCATAATTATGTTATGTTTATTGAATAATTGTAAACTGTTGTACAACATTTCTATTCGTTTTTTCGGTTCATTCTACATCAATACACAGTATATACATACACTAAGCTTTCTGACTTTGCGTCAATTCGATATAGAGTAAAGACTATGATTTAGAAATAGATAACAGCTTTACCATTGAAATATTAAAAATTATTTATACAAAGGGTGTACCATTATAAATTTGACAGCGCTATATTTCGCGAATGGATGATTTCATTGAAAAACGTTTTAAGTAAAATTTACTCTGTTTTGAGGGGAACATATCTTACGATGAACACGTTTTTCTTAGGTGAAGGTGTTCCTGAGATTTTAAGGTGACCTTTGTTTATTTTAATGGAATCATACAATTTTTTTTATATAATATAATTTCTCTACTTATTTGGCATATAAAAGTATAAAGGTAAAGCTATCAAAAAATCAATAGTTTACGGGATATTTGATATTATATATATTGATACTTTTATATGTAGCATAGTGAGACGAATCAATTAATGTGAGAAAAACATAGTTACTTTCCAAAAAAAAGTATGTAATTGCACATTACAAATTGCATTATTTTTTTAAAAAAGCAACTATGCGTTGTCTTTAAATCAACTTACTCGTTCCACTATTTACGCATAAAAGTAGGTACAGTTATCAAAAAATGAATAGTTTACAAGATATTTTATATTTCATGTCAAAATATATGCCAGAATAAAATATAACATCTTGCAAAATATTGATTTTTTTATAACTGCTAGCTTACCTACTTTATGTGCTAAATAACTACAGGAATTATGTTATATAAAAAAGATCGTATGATTCCATTGAAAAAAAAAAACAAAGGTTACTTTAAAATCTCAGGAAAAACGTGTGTCCATCAAGATGTTCCCCTCAAAACAGAGTAAGTTTTACTTGAAACGGAGCAAGCAACGCGATGCATTTTTCAAGTATTTGCAAGAAAGTATTGAAACTTCTCGTGCGACTGATGTACCGAGTACGCAACCGAGATAGCCATGTAGCAAGCGTGGCGCAGCGACTGAGGTGACGGACTGAGACGTTGCAGGTCGCGCGTTCAAACCCTGCTTTTCCCAATTTTTTTTTTTTTTTTTTTTTTTAATTAAATGTACATTAAAATGAATAATTAGGCAAGAATGTATAATAGAAAAATTATTTTTTCATTATTATTGAATTTATTTTTCAGCTTCAAAATGATACCACGCCGAGCAGTGAGCAGCGAGCGAATTCATCGCGAATTCGTCGCAATGCTTGCCGTTCGCTGCGTGACAATTATTTTCCGGCGCGATATCATTGAAAACGGAAACAATTGTCACGTCGTTCGTCAAGCGAGCCGGCTATAGCAGCTCGGCGAGCAGGAAAAATGCAGCGCGAGAGAGACAGAATATGGATGTCCTTTTCTAAGCGCGATTCGTTTGTTTTCCGTCGCAAGGATAGACCGAACTCAGCGAAGTAAAAAAAACATGCGATAGAAAAAGTTTCACGTGATCGAGACCCCCCGACCCCCGAGCAGCCCGGGCAGCTCCTCAGTCTCAGTGCCAGCAGTGCCAGTGCCCTGCCCGTGCCCATTATTGAATACGCGACGGTCCCGCGGAATCCTGCGTCGTGAGTGACCGGTCGGCAGGGTCGGCCCGTCGCGAGGCACGGCGTGAGCCGGAAGTGGCGAGTATCGCGTATATTATAATATACGTGCATCGTGCCGCGAGCGGAGACGCGTTTGATAAAACGCGCGTTGTTTGTCCCTCTCCTCCGTCCCGGAGTGGAGTGCGCGGTCGGGCGACCAAGTGAAGGAGCGAGCGAGCGAGCGAGCGAATGACGGAAAACGGAAGGACGGAAGGACGGACGGACAAACGGACAGCGAGGCGAGAAAGGAAAGCGGGAAAGAAGTGCGCGAAGAAGAAAGTGTGAGCGATAACGACCGGAGAGCGAGCGAGCGAGAGAGAGAGAGAGAGAGAGAGAGAGAGCAGCCGCGACGACGGCCGTCGGGAACGTAAAATACGTTCGGCGGGAACTCTTGGTGACCGGCGTGACCACGTGACCGCGATGGAGGATAGACCACGGCGGATATATCGTAAATGTAAGTATTACATTTATGTCACACGTGCATGGAAAGTGGCCTATCACACACGCGACGCGTGCGTGATAGGCCACTTTCCACGCACTTACAACATAAAATAGGGTATGCAACATGTGCGTGAATTTTTATCTTCCAGCACTTGTATAAATTCAGGGTTGGGAAGTAACGCATTACTTGTAACGTCGTGACCATTACCGTTATGGAAAAACGTCATGTCATTACCAAATTGTTACTATAAAAAGATAACGGTAATGGTAACGGCGTTACAAGTAACGCGTTACTTACAATTAGTACTGTTTTATGAATGGATACACTTCCGTGAAGCGAGCGCATCGAAATATAATATAGAAGCACGTGGCTCACGAATGTATATCCTTGTAAAAAACGGTGCTGATTGGATAAACTTTATTTATATATAATTTATTACAAATATAGTAATTTTATTTTTTTTATTTCAGCCAAAAGTGAGGAAGGTGGGGCGAACAAGCTGCCGCCACCGACCCCATCGACGACGACAGCAACGGCGAAAATGCCGCCTCCGCCATCGACGACGACAGCAACGGCGAAAATGCCGCCGCCGCCTCCGCCATCGACGACGACAGCAACGGCGGCAATGCCGTCGCCGCCTCCGCCATCGACGACGACAGCAAATGCGGCAATGCCGCCGCCGCCTCCGCCTCCGCCATTGACACCGATGCCACCGACGATGACGCCACCGCCGCCGCCACCGCCACCGCCACCGTCACCGCCACCGTCACCGCCACCGACACCGTCACTACCACAAGAGGAGAGAAAGCGAGCGAGCGCAATGCATAAGGTAAGTAGAG